ATGAACTTTACTTGTTTTATGATTGCATCACATCCACAAGTTCAACAAAAACTACATGAAGAAATGGATCGAGTATTTGGAGATGATTATGATCGTGCATGTACAATCGAAGATCTGAATGAATTAGAATATTTAGAATGTGTTATAAAAGAAAGTCTTCGATTATATCCTTCAGTTCCGTTTATTGCAAGAGAAATACAAGAAGATTTTATGTTCCGTAAGTGTGAATTCAGTTATTGTTTGAAATATTTGATTTATTTATTTTATATATAGATGATCATAAACTTTTATGAGGTACAACAGCTGTGATATTTATTTATTATATTCATCGTGATCCAAAACATTTTCCTGATCCAGATCGATTTGATCCTGATAGATTTCTACCTGAGAATAGTATTGGTCGATCACCTTATGCATATGTGCCATTTTCAGCTGGTTCAAGAAACTGTATAGGACAACGATTTGCTATGTTGGAGGAAAAAGTGATTTTATCATCGATATTAAGACGATTTAAATTAAAAACTTCTCAATCGCCTGATGATTTACATCTGTCGTTTGAACTTTTACTGCGTTCTGTAAATGGTGTCCATGTTCAACTTGAATTACGTCATTAATTAATCAGAATGAATATTTGTATTTTTGAAAATTTTTCAATTTAAAGTTAATTTTTTTAGAAAATATTAAAATAAACCATTCAAAATAAATACATAATTCAATGTTCTTATTTAGTAATAGAGAAAGCGATACTCTATGTGTTATTGTGTGTTTTGATCGAACCTCACCCAAGATTACTAAAAATAAACTTTTTTTCAACTTATATAAGGAAGTAAGATATCGACGACATTACTTTTAGATTGCCTTGTTTCGTTCCTAATATAAAAAAATTCTAGTTTAGTACTTATCCATTCAGCACGTAGTTAATACATGATTATAGTAGCTAATGCTACCGACAGACAAATACGAGTGAATTTTTGTTTCTAAACTCTAGTGTTACAGTCTAAGAGATAGCACTGTGATTTACCAATAACGAAGCATCACACATATTTTTTTAGATGTTTAGTAAAAGAAGTAAATGAACCCATCGTCATCGAACTCTTTAAATATTATACAACATAGTTAGTTCAATGTATGCAGATAGTAAATAAACAGTATCTCAGATCACATACACATGCAAATCTTTATTTATAAAAACTATTAGTATGAATTAAACATTGTCTTCGTTGTAAATAGTATCGAGTATGTATGAGTATTCGATTTATGTTTATTTGTCATGGAATTTAATAACAAAAATATCCTTCAAATAAATAAAACTTGCGAAAGGCAGATGTCTTTTCTCACACACATTCACAAAAAAGTGCAAATATGAACATTAAAAAAACAAAACAAAGAAATCATCATCTGTCTATAAGGCACGCTCAGATATGAATATGTGAGAAAAAAAGAAACTAAAAAAGAAAAACGAATGACAAAAACCGGGATAGTACATTCTTGCAAAATAATGGCAAAGAAAACGTTCATGTTCAAGCTCATTTCGATGTGAATGATAGAGTATATTTATGAGTGATATTTTTATTTGAATTAAATTATTTTAAAAAATTTGGAAGATTACGAAAATGATTTTAATCGATATCCAATTGATATTAAAGGTCCATTAGTAACTATGTCTTGTTTTGGAAGACTATTATTATCATTAGAATCATACGAGCTTAAATGACGGTTGCCTAAAATAAATAATAATCATAAATTTTACATACTATCGAAAACAAGAATTCATAGATAGTTAGTAGATTTACTTACTAAATTAGAAATATATGTATATACATTATCATACGAAATCTTTTCGATTAAAAACATATATGGATTAATTTTTGTAATTTATTAGAATACAAATCTTTAATTTATATGTCATGTTCATACATATTTCAGTTATCTTAATGTTCGTTTCATACTACTAAACTGAGTGAAGATGTTTCAAGATGACGTAATTGAAATATACATATCTATATGTACTTCGTCACACTGATCTGAAATATCATAACTTTGATTTATTGAAATCAATGTGACGAATTGACAAGTAATCATTTCGATAAACTTTCTTTCTCAGTAAACCTTTTGTCTCTATTCGTGTCTAAGTGTTTACTAGCACATTGTGACTCATTAGATTGCGAACATTCTTTGTTTTATTTAGACAATCAAGTATCAAGAAGAACAATAGTTCTAGTCTTAATATTATAGGAATCGAAAGTAATCTACTCATACCGAGCCATGCTAATATACAAAAGCTGTTAACTCTAGATTCGAAATCAAATTGAACTGATTTTAAGATCAACTATATTATTGGCAAAATATTATAATTTTTAATAGATCAAAAGTTAAATCAGTATAGTAAAACATTGTTAATCTAATACACACCCAATAAGTTTATTACTGTTTTATTGATTTTTGAGTTTCATGTTGAAGATGTTAATGAAATGAAAATCAGTTAATTATATCTTATTGGTATAAAGTAATGATATCTCGACGAAGTTAGTATAACATTTCTGTATACCAAGATCTTTTGATTAGAAGAAAACATGAAATTTTCACAATATTGATTCAACATACCGGTTTTTGTCGAATCGATTTTGATTCGTGTGAATGTGTATATTAAATAAATAAAAAAATAACAAGCAAAACAATACGTGTAAAAGTGCATTTAATTGTGTGTAGATCCATTTTAACTTAACAGACCTGAACGTTGCCGAGATACTGTATTCGCACTTTTAGTTCGTATTGATGGATCAAATGATAAATTTGTTGTTGCAATAGGTGTTTTATGTAACAGATTAGTTGTAGTTGATGATAATCCATTTGCTTGAAGAAACAAACGACTTGATTGTTGATTATTTTCTGCTAAACGTAATGCTTGTTGATAACGATTGTAGAGTGATCCATTTTGAGGTTGAATTACCTTTATGAATGAATAGAAGAATTACTTTTTTTGTTATTTTGTAATACATTACTAACTTTATCATTGAATATATCTATATGTCGTACCATACGTGGTTCGAATTTTGATGTGTGAGTAGAAAAACCTTGTTGAATTAGTGGATTTGATGGACCATTTACAGAATAATGACGATTTAGTAGAGTATTAGGCACTTTTGAATTACCATATTGAAGAAAAGAGATATTTTGAGATGTATCAATTCCTTCAACTTGTTGCTAGAAATAATGAAGTATTTAATGGTTTAATTAAAAAAATATGAATTGATCTTTCTAAGACTAATGTACTACGATTAAGAGCAGGTAATAGAAGTTTTTAACATTTAACTATGGTTCGATTGTGAAAAAGTTTCTCTAGAGAAAATATTTTTATCATATGTAACTGTGCTTTTCATTTTCTCAAATCAGTATAATAACTATTTGAAATTTGCAATTTTATACTAACCGTCATACGACGTTGTGCAAGTGATTCTGTAATTATATTGTTTTCTGCTAGCGTATTCGGCACGACGCCACTAGAGTTTGCTAACATTCGATGACATAGATCAATAATACCTTTTTTAAATTTACATATATAAGAAATTACATTTATTAAAATTGTCTTTTATTTATTTACCCATCGTTCGAATAAGTGTTTCTCGATGTTTAAGTAATAACAATCGTTCTATTTCTTCAGTTTCATCAATATCAAGAGCTTTCGATGAATCAGCATCAGATTGATGATGTGCCGTTGTCATACTCATATTCTATGTCAACAAAGACAATATTGATTTTTTTTATAAAATATCAAAAGAATTAAAAGTATTTTACGGCCGTAAGACGTTTTAGTTGAATCCGATTAAATGATGAACTTCTTGATGATTTAACAATAGGTAAAGATCGTTTCAATGGACTCTCACCGTATGCTTCTTTTAAATTATTCATACTTGGACTTGGACCTAATTTACTATTTTTAAGTAAATTAAATTTATCTTGTTTCTTTTGTATTTCATCAATTTGTGCTCTAACAAAACAAAGATATTATTATACATATTTAAAAAAAAAATTACTTTGCCACTTCACTTCTTGCTTTTGATGCAGCTGTTTCCGAATAAAGTGTACTAGCTTGAAGAAAAAATAGATCATATTTTTCTGTTTCATCAGGTATAGGATATATTCTTCGATAATTTCCCATATGTTCATTTTCCCAACTTTCAATTTCTTTTTGCCATTGTTGAGCAAGATCTTCTTGTTCTTCACGAAATTTACTATCTTTTTTATTTATTTTTTGAAAAAGTCTTTCTTTAACACGTCGTCTTTCTTCTTCAATAAATCGTCTTTTATCAGCTGCAGGCATATTTAATAGAAGTATAGTATCATATATAAGTGCATCTTTTATTTCACGATCTAATTTTGAATCTGTAGTAAAACTTGGTGAATGATTTACCTTAAACAAATAAAATAAAATGAATTTTAGTTTAATATTTATTTATTATCTTACTTCAAGAACATAAGGTTTTAATTTACGATCGAGTAAAATGTCAAAACCAAGAATTTCAAAACAAGCACTACCACGATAATGATGAGGAAAACAGGCACGGTAATTGTGTTTAAGCACAGCATGAGCAGAAATCATAACTTTTATAATAACATCATCAATATCTGCCCATAATTTAACTATATCATAACCATGTTCGACTAACCAACGATTAATTGTTGTTATTCGACTAGAAGAAGATAATAGATCAATATTTAGAATGTTATTTTTCTTTTTGTATAAATTACCGTTTAGTACCAGTATCTTCATCACGAATAAAATCATCCGAACGTTTTTGAATAGCATAATTTGTTAAATGCATAAAAATATCTTTCTACAAAAAAATCAAAGAGACTTATCGAATGGAAAATGAATAGCGAAATAAATTAACATACACAATTAGAACTGGATGGTTCTTCATAATTATGAGTTGTAAAACGAGCTAGACCATCTTTATAAACAAAAATTCGAAATGGATCACAAGATGTTACAGCAACATATACACGTAAATCAAATTTGTAACCATCGATTAAAAATGGCTAAACGAGACAAAATAATTTCTATTAGTTACGATATTATAGTAAAATAAATATTTTTCGAAGTACTCCTTTTCAGACATTTAAACATTAATTATCAAGTATCAAAATGAATCATATGTTGAAAAAAAAGACTAAATATAGAAAAGTGTTGATTTAAAATTCATTTTCAACTAAATATTACATATGAATACCTAAAACTTAAAGTTGAAATGTCTGTAATAGAATATTTCTACGAACACGTTGAATAAAAAGAAAATAGTTCTCATCAGAT